TCCTATTTCTGTACTCGTGGCTTGCCCTGTCCGTGTGCGTGGGGGTATCCTTGGCGGTTCCCTGTATGCTGGTTTGTGTGTTCTCCAACACAACTCTCACAACGCTTTTCTGAACCCACTCGCTCTCCCAACGGGGAGCTTACCTAACAATCATCATAATTATTTCATTTATGGCAAAGGGGATTTTTTTGGTGATGAAAAACATTTTACATTCTGTTAATAACTCTAATTTGCTTAGTTGTATTTTAGAATGCCTACAAACTCTTAAGTTAGCTCCATAAAATCACATAAATCAATTAAAATTTGGTGGTTCAAATCCCTAGCATTGCATAACAGAGTGAGCTCCCATTACTTGCCCCAGCTTCTGCCAAACTAGCAGTTCAAAAGCAGGTAAAAATGCAAGTAGAAAAATAGGGACCACTTTGGTGGGAAGGTAACAGTGTTTCGTGTACCTTTGGCATTTAGTCATGCCGACCACATGACTACGGAGATGTCTACAGACAGCGCTGGCTCTTCAGCTTTGAAATAGAGATGAGCACTGCCCCTTAGAGTTGGGAACAACTAGCATATATGTGCGAGGAGAATCTTTACCTTTACTTTTAGGTGAAGACACTAGGACTTTCATTCTTAAGAAAACATGGGAAATGAAATCTTTATTGATTTGGTAATTTTTTAAAAAATGAATGCTTGTCAATAATTTTATACAAGAGGTTATCTAATTAAGGCTTATGTCTTCTGTGAAAAATAGATTTGACACTTCTATCAAATAATATTAAAATAGAACCATGTGATATAGGGAGGCAAGATACTACTTGACATAATCTTAGATCAGTTGATTTATATTAATAGCCAATGTTCATTTGAGTTCTGTTTCAGTTTTAAGTCTTGCCAGAACCTGATTTGTTTTCCCTATATTTTATATATTCGGTCAATCAAATTGTTTATTGTGAATATTTTTAACATTTTTAATTAAAAGCAAGAATTAGCGAGATACAGTAGATACATTAGATATACTTACAATCTTACTAAATATATGCATTATATTTTTAGCTCCTGTACAGTCAGCATCCACAATGGAAATAAATCTTACTGTTAAAAATCCTGATATAGTGTTTGTGGCTGATTTAACTCGAAAAGATGCTTCTGCATTGGTAGCCACAGCACAGTGTGAAATCTCCATAAAAAGTGGACCTGGAATGTATAAAATGACAGCTGTTGTCGAAGATATAAATGTGAAAGCTTGTCCATTTTTTCCAGCTCTGAGGGAAGGAAATATTACCACGGTAAGATTTTTAGATAACCTGATCTAAAACTGAAATCTGCTGCAGTGCTATGTAATTTCATGTGAAAGCAATATGCTTGGATTGGCTATATATATATATGTATCAATACACAGTCAAATTCTGTCTTGTAATTAAAATAATGGGATGGGTAAATTGGATAGATAGATTAATTAGAAAGATTGCTTTCTCTGTTTTCTTGCTTGCTTGCCTTAAAGATTGTTTCATTCTGTCAATTATACTTTCCAATTAGTAATTCAATTTAAAATCATACAGTCAGTAAAAAATAACAACTAACGTTTCTATGGAAGCAGGGTTGCATATGAAACAATAATACTTAAAATGCCAATGTCGTGACTGAAAGGAAATTAAATGGACCAAACTCCCTGGCTTGATGGAAGAACCATCAATAATTACAAGTTGCTGTTCTGATTTTGCAGTATTGTTGGAAAAAGACTTTATCCACTCTTGATCTGTAGCTGTATAACTAACCATGTCTCTGGTACTACATACACAATTCATACTCTGACATTAGGAATTATGTATATAATTTTTGATTATTACTAGTGGGGCTACAGTATGTAAATGAAAATTTATGCATATAGCAGCAGATTGACTTTATGGAAGCTTACTTGCTTCCTATCAAATGATCATAGAGAAATCAATTTCTAAAATATATTGTTTCAATTATTTGCAGTGTGTATTATGATTTCACTGAAGAAATTTATATTCTTAAAATGCAAATATTTATATTAATTAATTTATTATTTGATTTCAGGTATTACAACCATGTGATCTTTTCTTTAATATGATGCAGTCAGGTGAAGAACCGCAGAAAGCTGAGCTGTCAATAAAATCCCTAACTATTAAGGTATATTAAATATTTCTATATTTATATTAATCTTGGAAGCAAATATAGTTATACTTTTAGTCTTATATGAGCTATAGAAATAGATTTTTTTATATAAACTAATTCAGGTATTAAGTAAATGTTACATAATAATTTAAAGTGGACTCCTGTCTATTTCAAACATAAATATTTTCCTTATATTGTTATATCTAATATTTTAGTAATTACTTGATTCTCTAATTTTTTAAACTACATAATTTCCTTTTTTTAAAAATCAGGTATCACCTATTATCATAAATACAGTTATAACTATCACATCAGCACTTTTCCCAACCAAAGAGAATGGAGAAAAAGATCTTAGCCCAGTACCACCAGATCTTTGGGATCAGAAGAATATTAAAAATCTAAATATGTGGTTTCTTGAAGAGTCCGTTGAAAACAAAAATCCTGTTTCTGTAGCTGAGTTGATTCCTACAGGAGAGTCATTAACAATGAAAATTGAAACTGTTGTTATAACTCTTGAAGCTGGAGTTGGTCACAAAACAGTACCAATGCTTTCAGCAAAATCCTCACTTTCTGGAGAAGTAAAAAATTGGAGTAGTCTAATCAATCTCTCATCACGTCTTGAACTAGAGGTCAGTACAGTGTTCAAAATATGCTTCACCTTGTAGGCTGTTTAAAAATTATTATGCAGTGGGATATGTTGGTTGACATTTTTCCGTACTATTTTAAATTCAGCAAAAAGTTCTGTTACCACCAGATAGCTGTTGAATAATCTACATTAAAGTTAGAATAGTATTTCTTAAACTATATTTACATTGATGTATACCTTTAGTTCCTTTCTCAACTTCCATCTTACCACAATACAGATAGTCCTCAACTTAGGACCAGTCATTTAATGGCTGCTTATAGTTTCAACAAAGTCCTCAAAAGGTACTTACAACCTGGTTACAAAGTTCCAACACACACACACACAAACTATGACCATGCAACTGCTTTTAAGGCCCTTGGCAACTGGCCCCCATTTATGGCTGTTTGCAGCATCCTGAGGTCATGTGACTGTGATTTACAACATTTTTGCCAAAACCAAGCATTTACTTCCAGTTTTTGGCAAACATCCCATAGTGAACAATGGGCTTGCTTAACAACCACACAAATAGGGTCAAAATTGGGTCAGTAACATGATAAGCCTTTAAACATTTTTACAAAATTGTCGAGGACTACCTGTACTAATATCCAAAATCAAGACTTCACTGTGATGACAAGCCAGAAAAGAGGGTGTGGAGGCATTCTTCCTCCAGGTTCCCCTTCTTCCTTACATTTTATATAGTAAGGGATAAACTTTATCTTTTTTTTATTGCTCTCCATTTTCAGTTCATTCAAATTGATATAACCTAATTTTCACACTTCATTTAATTTGTATTTTTAGGTACACTATTTCAATGAAATGTTTGGTGTTTGGGAACCATTACTTGAGCCTCTAGAAGTAGAAAACACTGAGGAATTCAGACCATGGATTCTAGAATTAAAGGTATGATTTAGAATTATAATTTTACTAGAGTATAGGACTGATATGTTAACGAATATAGTAAGTGTTCCTCATGATCTATCATTGTAATAAAAATGTTTAATATATGATCTTGTTAAACTTATTTGAGAAGAATTATTTCTTGCTTGTCACTTTTGAGTAGAAATGTTTCCTTTTTTAGAACGGGCGTCAAAGTCAATTTCATTGAGGGCCGTATCAGGGTATTGTTCGACCTTGGTGGGGCGGGTGGGCATGGCCAGCTTGATGTCACTTGTGTAAGGTGCGTCTGTGGTGGCCTGAGCTTTCTGCCAGCAAAATGGGCTCCCGAGCTCCATTTTCAGTGCAATGGCTACCTGCAATCCTCTACCAATGAAAACTGAGCTCGGGAGGGTCACATATGGGGAGAGGAAAACTGAAAGAAGATACTTATATGTAACCTTATAGGACAGTGATGGCGAACCTTTTTCTCCTTGGGTGTCAAAAGCACGCATGTACGTGCACTCGCATGCCCACCCCCATAATTTAGTGCCCCCAACACCGTGACCTTACATATGTGTGGGTGACTCCCACACAGGCATGCACGGCTTTCTTGGAGCCTGGGGAGGGCAAAAACTGCCTTCCCCCTGGAGGACCCCCAGAGGTCAGAAACAGCCCGTTTTCCAACTTCTGGTGGGCCCGGTAAGTCCATTTTTCCTCCTCCCCAGGCTCCAGAGGTTTTCTAGGAGCCTGGGGAGGGGGGAAAATGGCCCAAAACGCAAGCCGGAAGTTCAGGAACAGACTTCCAGTGTGCCCTTTAGGCTGTTTTTCGCTCTCTGGAGGCTTCAGGAAAGCCTCTGGTGGGCGAAAAATAGCCGAAAATCAAGGCCGAAAATCAGCTGGCCAGCACAGGCATGCACACTGGAGCTGACAGGGCAATGCCTTGCGTGCCCTCAGAAATGGCTCTGCATGCCACCTGTGGCACACGTGCCATAGGTTCACCATCACAGTTATAGGGGGATGAACTAAGTTTGCACTTGTGATGAAAATCAAAAGTCACTTCTTTAAATATTTATTTTTTCTCTTTTCCCCCTTTTTATTTAGTACATCGAGTCTTTATTTTTCTTTTCTTAGTTCAGTTTATATTGTCTTCTATTTTTAAAAAACTTCTAATAAAGATTATTTTTAAATATATATATATTTATTATATTTCTTTCCACCATCTTGTATTATTTAACAATACTTTTAATAAATTAGGTTAACTTTACAAAGCATTCTAAACTTTAAATAACTTTCACTTAGAGTTGCTAATTTTACATATGCCAAATATTTTCTCTTTAAGATGAAAAAGAAAAACAAAAAAGCCTTCGTTGAATCAGTGGCAGAAGAAGAACACTATAAAGTGCCAGAATATAAAACAGTAATAACTATTTATTCTCAAAATCAGCTGAACATTACATTATCTAAATGTGGGCTATTAATGTTGAGTAATCTAGGCACGGTAAGTGAAATTTTAATTTAGATTTGGGCCTTAAGTGAAGAGAATCATCTATGGAAAAAGTTATTAATTTGAAAATTTGTTGATTTATTATTCTTGTTAGGCATTTGCAGAAGCAGCTACCGAGGCTTCAGAAACATTCAAAAAAGATAGGGCCCCTTTTGTATTAATAAATTCCTTAGGAGTTTCCACCACTGTTTTGCCTAGTGAATCCTTCAGTGTTCTTAATATTGAATCAAAAGCAAATTCATTTCATCTTGAAGATGGACAAAGTCTAAATATGGAATATATCAGAACCAAAAGTGAGCAAGACCAGTTCACAGCAATGACCACTCTAAGCAGCAAGGTATTCTACATTTGGCTCAGTAAGTACACCTGAAATGTCTATTAGTAAACATCTAAATGTATATGATGCAATCATGGTGTTTAATAAAAGTTTTAAAACAACTTATCTCTTTAAATAACTATCTAGTGTATGTAGTTCTAATTGGTGGTGCAGTGATTAGCGTGCAGTATGGCAGGCTAACTCTGCCAACAGCAGGAGTTCAATCCTGACTGGTTCAAGGTTGATTCAACTTGCCACCCCTCCAAGGTTGGTAAAATGAGGACCCAGATTGTTAGAGTCTGACTCTCTGAAACAGCTTAGAGAGGGCTGTAAAGCACTATGAAGCGGCACATACGTCTGAATGCTATTGTTTCATGGCTTATATTCATAAATATTGTGAATACACTACATTAATAGCTATTTTTCTGAGACCTAATTAATTTTTAAGAGAAAATGAACAAATTAGCATTAATTTGTATAGCAGAATCAAACTGTACATTACACATATCTGTGACTAAGTCTTGTAACTAATATTTTTCTAAAATTAGCTTCCAATGTCTCAATTTGGATTATGGATAAAGAAAAATAACATTGATTGGGCAGAGGATAACAATTGCATTAATAAATTAGGAAAGGAAGAATACAAGTTAAACTAAAGCTCCTTTTACTATAGCACTTGTTCAAATTAGTGAATTTATTATTATTCAAATTAGTGAAACAAAACAACATTTTGTTGATACATTGCTGTAGCTTGCTAGCTGCCAGCGGAGCTGGCGACAGACTCGGACGAGAAGGAGGCTGGGGAGGAGATTGGACCAGTCCTGGAGTCTGGGAAAGGCTTTGATGGGTTCTCTGCATCAGAGGCAGAGATGAGGCCAGGGCCATCTGATGTTTTTATCAGCTACCTTCAGAGTCAGAGATGTGGGGCAGAAGAACAGCTGGGGCTTTTCCCCAATGTACGCATGCACAGAGCTGTCAGGAGAAGGGAACAATTAAGGAATGGGTCGACTTGGGAGTAAAGGCACAAGTGGATGCTGAATGGCCCCTCCCATAGGGAATACATAGGAGCAAAAAGGGAGTGGTGTTTCCAGGAGATAATTAGTTGGCTTATTGTGAAGATTTGCTTACCTGAGTTTGTGCCTCACAGACACTTTTTACCAGTTATTCCATTGTAAGGTGTTGCAACTAGAAGCTCTCGGCCTGGCAACTATCCAAGGACTGATAAGGTCTGTTCTTGCAATTAAAGCTTATTGCTGGGACTTTTCTGGATGTGAATGCTAAGAATTCACATTAACCAAATAAAAAGGGTTTTTTGCAGGACAAAAAACTGTCATGATTCTGTGAAGCCTAGTCAGAGCATACATTATATTCTTTTTTATGATATTTATGTATTTGCAATTAACTTAGTACTTTTATTTCTCCTTCCCTCTGTCTCATAGCTACACAGAGATCTGTGCGGCTTTATTTTTGATGATGTTTTTGCCTTCGTTTTTTTAGCTCCTCAGAATCATTCTACTACTGACAAGATCCCATTGACAAAAGTGGGTCGGAGTTTGTACAGAGTTAGACATAATGATTCAGGTGTTGTAAGATCTATTGTTTGTCAAATTGATACTGTTGATGGAAGCAAGATAGTAACCGTACATTCTCCAATTCAGGTGAGATATTTTCTTTTAAAGTTTACTGATCAGTGCAAATCTGCCAAGTAGAATGTTTTTATTTATTTATAGAATCTTAGTTGGGGAAAATTGTTTTATTTCCTGTGCGTATCAGCAAGTATAAAATATTTTATAAAGGTATTTATAAAGTGGATATAACATCTTCCTAAATTCCTAAATGTTAAATTTCATTGTATTTTTCAGATGAGTAGAGATTTAATTAGATGAAATATAATTGTAACATAGATTTATTTTTGGTTAATTGACACAAACTTTTTATTTTTCTGTATAGATAAAGAATCATTTTTCAATTCCTTTGAGTATATTTGAAGATGGAAAATGTTTAGGAGTAGCACTACCAGATAATGAATTTAACATACCATTAACTTCTTATAGGTAATTATTTTCTTTTTTGTTCATTATTATTTTGTACATATATTTATTTTGTCAACATCCATTGGTAAATTAGTTCTAAATGTAATAAATTAAGAAATAATTACTATTAGGTATTTTAGTAAAGGAATATAGTTAGATTAAATGTTTAGCTTGTACTCTTTATGTTTTGTTTGCATCATTATTAATGACTTTATACGCTTGGGACTATTTCCTTTTTAACATTGCTGTTTAATATCTCCCAGTTATTTATTAATCCTTGGAAAGGATCACTCTATCAAAAATCTAATTGATGAAGAGAAAAAATATATAATATTTTTTATTTAAAGATTTATATATATAAGAAAAAGTAAATTCAAAGAAAAAGGTATACAGGTAGTCCTCAATTTACAATCACAATTGAGACCAGAATTTCTATTGGTAACAAGGCAGTTGTTAAGTAAGTTGCACCCAATTTTACAGCCTTTATTGCCATGATTGTTAAGTGAATCACTGTAGTGTTTAAGTGATTCATGCAATTATTAGGCAACTCTAACCTCCATTGACTTTGCTTCTCAAAAACCAGCTGGAAAGATTGCAAATGGCAGTTATATGGCCCCGAGACACTGCAATCATAGTAATACATGTGACCATGGGGATGCTGCTATAATCATTACATGCGAGGATTGGTCATAAGTCATTTTTCTCAGTGCCATTGTAATTTCGAATGGTTGCTAAATGAATGGTAAATTGAGGGCTACCTGTAGTATTTGCAAAAGAAAGGGGAAAAAAAGACAAAAGAGAGAGTAAAGAGGCAGAGAAAACAGAAAAACAGAAAACATGAAAAGTAATATAAAGAAATGGTTTCTAATCTTCTTCTCGGCAGTAATAGAGTACATACATTTCTAATCAAACCTCTTTCTTTTTCTCTAGGATTACATCATAATACCCTTCTTCTATAACCTATTCTTTCTAATAGTTAAAACCATATGTCAGAAAATCATTTTCTTTTTTACACAAAAAGTCCATTAGGAGTTTTAAATCATTGATGATTGTCAATAATATAATGACCTTTCTCTAATCAAAGAAGTCAGTTTGGCTATCTCAGCAAGCTCTGTCAGTTTTACCAACCATTCCCCAATGGTACATAATGCTGAATCTTTCCATCATTTGTACATATAATCTGTTATTTTGACATAATCTTCTATGACTCTAGCTATGACTCTAGTAAAATTCTAACTAAAACTCTAGCTATGACTCTAGCTATGACTCTTTTCTAGCTATGTCCATCTGTCCTAAAAGGAAAGGTTCTGGCTTTTATTGAATATTTAAAATCCTCTGTAACTAAATGTATATTTGAGTCCATTTTCTTTAGCTTTTTATATGTCCACCAAGCCATAGATACAGTCATACAGTTTGTTAAATTTATTTACCACTCATCTCACCAAGGGGCTTACAATAATAAAAAGGATAAAAAATAAAACATGCAGTAGAACAATAAAGTAAACAGTGGCAAAGAAACACAACTAGAATAAATACATCAATATGATAACTAAAAAGATGGATTAGTAGAGAGGAGGGAACAAGGAGTGGAAACATTGGCTTATATTATCTTTCTTAATTTTGTAAAATGCACCAATTATTTTCTGAGGTAACAATAAATATTCCTATGAAGCTTCAGTCAATTATTTGTCTAGTTGATTTTGCTATTTTTAAAGGCAATTTCATCAAAGAACAAAACACTTTTCTAAATTATTGTCTAATTTCTCTGTTTAAAACTTTCTTTGCTTCTATGTCAAAATCATTTATGATGGTTTCTTTTTTCTAATCTTAATTTTTAAAAAAGCCAGTCACTCTGTTCCTATTCTTTCCTGCTGGTTGAAAGATCTCTCTTAGATTATAAATTAATGATATCCAATTACAAAAAAATAATAACACCTTCTCATTGAGCCATTCTATCACCTCTACCATTTTATGCAACTAAATATTCTCCCCAAAAGCATTATGATTTGGAAAAGCACATCTATCCATAGGACCATCATCAGAAGGCAGACAAAATAAAAAGATAGGTAACCTGTCAACCAGGCCATGCACTGATGTTAATAAGACAGTAAAAGACCTGTAGGTTACATTTATAATATCTTTGAATGCAGTTTATTTAATATTATTTGTGTTGCTTCTAAATATATTTTGTTCTAGTTTCATTTGTTTAAATCAGGATATAAGAATTGAATATTCTTAATAGAAAAGGAAAATGAGAATAATTATTGTGCTTATTCACAGGTCATTACTGTTTTTTCGACCAGTAATTGATGAAAATGAAACTTCTGGAGAATATGAATCCAGTGAAGGTGTTAGCTTTGATGAAATGGTGAAGAATTTTGACAAATTGCTACAGAAGAAATGCCGGTCTTTCAAATCACCTAATCACCCACTTATTATCAATATTGTTCCAATGCAAGATACTTTGATTTCTTCAACACATACAGATGATCAGTGGGATTTACCATATGTTGTTCATTTGTGGTCGTCTGTTATTCTCCGCAATCTACTGCCATATCAGATTGCCTATTCTTTAGAGGTAGTGTTTTTCCCCCCGCTAAATTCCCTTTCCCTTTCTTTGGATCTTATAATTTAGAATATACCCTCAGTTCCACTGAATAAATGGCATTGAAATGCCTCAAAATATGCTTGGCCATGTCTAGAATTCAGTTGCTGCTGTATGTGCACACTAAATATGAAAGAAAATTCTCTTGAGTTTCTCATGTTTTTTTTTTCCAGTTAGTCTTAGTTAAGTAATTATTAACTGGTCTGCTACTTGATCTGAGGAATGTTCATTTTAGAACACAAGGATAAATATTTAGTATCTTTGGTATCTTTCTTAATTGCAATTATGTCTTTGCACTGATATAATAAATATGCAAGTAGGTAAATGTGTAGTAAGAATATAATTTTAAAGAATTCTACATACTGTACAAATAAATATTTATTTCAAATCCTTCAAAAGTTACTTTCTGATGTAATTTCTTTTCACTATATGAAAAAGTGTGCAAACCTCAAGTTTGAAATGTTTTCAGCTTGAAGCTTTCCATTGTTAAAAATAGCTCTTAGAAGAGCTATTTTTGAGTCCAAAAGAGGTAGCTTAAGATCACTGGAAGTGTCTTGATGTATTTCTGATGTTACTGCTAACAAGTTCACTTTGGAATCGTCCTGGTAAAATAAGGAAAGCAACAGAATTTTTCCAGTAAGATCAGAGCAGCCTGTCTCAAATTTGAAACAGCATTTTGAAATAAAAACATTTCTAATTCAAAACATTTCAGAAGTTTTATAAGAGCAAGCTGAAGAGGGTTTTGAATCATGGTATAAATTAAAAAAACATATAATATGAGGAGAAATATGTATTTTTCAATAATAGAATTGCTTATAACTTCCCATTTATGTTATATTTGTTATTAATTATTACCAGAATCTCCCAAGAAATTAACACAATGGCAATGACGTCATTGTGTTAATGACACATTGTGTTAATGATACGTCAGATGTCATATTTCAATGCGAACAGCTTTCCATTTCATTCTGTGCAATTGTTAATGAACAATTGCACTAATTAATGAAATAATTAGTGTATTGATTATGTTTTATAACTATTAAAACTTTTCTTTCATAGGGGTATAGTACCACATGCGCTACTCTAGAAGCTGGATGTTCTGCTCAGATTCATAATGCATTACTGGATCAGAGCAAGTTGGAATTGCATTTACTTAATTATCTTGATAAAGATTGGACTACTGAGTACTGCATCCAGTCAAATCAACAAGAAATTAGTTTCATCACATTTTCATCCATTAATGACCTGGATAGAACAGATTTGGATATAGCTATCCATGTGACATATGCTACAGGACAAGTGATTCTAGCAATTCACAGTCCCTATTGGATGGTAAACAAGACCGATCGAATGTTACAATATAAAGCTGATGGTATTCACCGCAAACATCCACCTGACTACAAGTTGCCGCTTCTCTTTTCTTTCCAGCCTAAACACTTTTACCATGATAACAAGGTATTGATTTTATTCTCATAAATCAAGTTTATCATGTCATATTTAGTTTTCCAGTATTTTGAATCTTATTACTATAAAAAATACTACACACCATTATTAATGATAATTGTATTTTAATAAATTTATATTTAAGACACAGTAAGAGGTCTTTTGTTTTTAACATGGCATTGAAAAATATGATTTTTAAGAGTATAATAAGTAATTGCTATTCTATAATACTTTTTAAAAAAAAGTTAACTCTGAATTTTATGTTTTGTAACTTTGAAACTTTCCTTGAACTTTTATTGTATAAGATAGTTATCATATACATTATTATTATTTTTAAACAGACAAAAGAGGAAGTCTTCAGGCAGTTTAAACTTTATTTATTTATTTACTTATTTACCTATTTATTTATCAAATTTATTTGCCTTCCATTTCATTTCAAAATGACTCTCGATTGGTTACAGCATTAAAATATAAGATAAATATTTCTAAAACAATAAAAATTGAGCTATAATCAAAGATAACTTTATAGTTAAAAGATGGGGAGGGAGCAGGATGCTCAAGAGAGACATGGGATTGCCTCTTAATGTATCCGCTCCCTCAAGTGTGATGCTTGGTCATCGGGGTCCCAGGCATCTGGTAGAACCAGGTCTTTAGACCCTTACAGAAGATCAGAAGGGTGGGAACTGATCTCTCCTCAGTGGGTAAGATGTTTCAAAGATTAGGAGCCGTAGCAGAGAAGGCCCTTCTGCACCACACCAGCTAAAGTTCCTTGACTGACAGGTCCCGCAGCATGCCTCTTCTGCTGGCGCAGGTGGGGTATACTTGCTGAAGTATAAGAAAAGGAAGACAAATAATAACTCCCCCCCTCCTGAAATAGCCAAATGAAGGTTTGAGAGTTTAGCACCCCAAAAGTTTTGAGTGTTGTTATAGCTAGCAAATGAACTGGAGTATGCTCAAAAAAATGCATGCTTGGTTAACTAAAATGTGAAAATGGAGAACTTCAAAGTAGAGTATTTTACAGGTTTCATTTAACTAAGAATATTAACTATTTTTCTATTTTTATTTTTTTTAATTCTGTTCATGATAAAGGTTGAATAACAAGTTTCCTCCTTACAGGTTCAGCTCATGGTGACAGAAAGTGACCTTTCTGATCATTTTTCCTTGGATACAGTTGGGAGTCATGGCTTTGTAAAATGTAAAAGTCACAAAAAGGAATACCAGGTAAGTTGTTTTATTGTATTTTTCTTGCAGCCATATTTTTCTATGTTTACTTTAAAGAAAATTCTATTTCATTTAACAAGATAGATTTCCAAATAAGTTTCCAGAGCATTCCAGTTCTTAATCAATTCAAGCCAGCCCATCCCCTGCATTTCATTTCAGTTTTCTTCAGTATTTCAAACTTTTGAACAAACAGTGTCACAATTACTGAATGGGCTTAGTATTTGCATATTTTTATTGCCTAGGACAAGTGCACAATTCACTTACCTCTTAGACTAAACCTGGTCACAAAATTTAATGCCATAAGCAATGGATTTAAGGAATGTTAGCAGCAAATGTATTGCAGATGTCTATACAGCTTCTGTATGAGGAAAAAATCAACCCGAATCCTAATGGCAAACAGCTTAATATTTTATATGCTTAGTATTTGACTTAATTTGGATGTTGAAGATAATAAAGATACAATTTTAGATACAGTCTACAAATAGGAGTGGAACTTGAACAAAATGTGGCTGAATTTGGGAAAAGCTATTGTCAGTCTACACTAGATAATGTTAAACTTGTTAACTGATATATAGTATAGCAGTGGTAAAAAAAAATTTTTTTACTACCAGTACTGTGGGCGTGGCTTGGTGGGTGTGGCAGGAGAAGTATACTGCAAAATCTCCATTCCCAGCCCACTCCAGGGGAAGGATATTGCAAAATCTCCATTCCCACCCCACTCTGGGGCCAGCCAGAGGTAGTATTTGCCGGTTCTCCAAACTACTCTAAATTTCTGCTACCGGTTCTCAAGAACCTGCTGAATATCACCCCTGTAGTGATAGGCATAATATGTTTTTGAAAGCAAAATAATTCATCACATGTATTTTTTGCAGAATTTATTTCATTCTTATTTACTCACTACAGAGTAAATTGCATTTTTTCTTGCAGAAATATTAACTTATTTGGGAAAAAATAAGGACATTATTAACAATAATGAAATTGATTTAAAGAATTTTGTATTTTCCAGGTTGGTGTCACTATACATAACAGCAGCTTTAATATCACTAGAATAGTGACTTTCACACCTTTTTACATGCTCACAAATAGAAGTACACACATTTTAGAAGTTGCAGAAGAAGGCAATGAAAATTGGATACCAATACTTTTCCAACAGGTAATTTTTTAAGTCTTTTAAGTTTTTATATCCATTGTAAGAAAAATACTTCATAATTCAGGCATGAATTGTTTCTTGCATCCATTACCTTGTCTGTTCATAATTATTTACCTTATTATATATTACAATACAAAAGGCTTGGCTTATACACAATATGGGAAGCCTGTTTAGTATTGTAGTTAAGGTATAGGGCTAGAAACCAGGAAGCTAGCTAGGTAACCTTGGGCCAGCCATTCTCTTTCAGCCCTGGGAAGAAGGTAATGGTAAAAATATAGCCAAGAAGACTGCAGTAATTAGTCCAGGAAATTGCCAAGACTCAACAATAACTCAAAAACATAAACTAAAAATAAAATAAAATGTATACTATTAACAATATCCTATTGTTTTTAAAGTGCTGATTTGAAACAAAATGGCTACAAACTCATATATGGTCACAACCAAAATTTGTTCCATAACTTTGGTCACAACCCGATTTGATTATGACCTGAACCTAATCAAAATTAATACATGGTTCACTGTTGCTAGTAAACAACAGGAAATTTGGTGTTTACAAAAAACCCCGATTTGGTCGTTCTACAGGTTCTACTGTATGTATTTTTTCCTATACTTTAAATATTGTGCAATATCTGATTCATTGACAGTTTGTTGCCTCAAAATCTCAGTCACATAGGATTAAAAAAATTTAAATGCATAAAAATTGGTAATGACTATTAAAGTCAACAACTGATTCTGATATTCATCCATCGTGTTCGAAGAGGACCTTGACATCTAATAACTGACTGAAACAATAAAAACTGCCCAAAATTAATTCCACCAATTTACATTAATACGGGGAAAATTTTGCATATAACTTTAACTTTCCCAATTAGTATACTCCTTTGTCCAAAAATACAGTACTATTATTATTTTAGTTATATTCTAGTTTTATGCTACTTGTTGCTAAAAACTGCAGTTAGAGTTCTGTTTATTTTTATAAATTGAAGCATGTGAATTACAGTTTCACAAGAGTTTTTTTATACTTTTATTAATATGTATTTTTTTTAAAGACACATACAAATTTCTAAAAGCGGTTTTAAAAAAATGATTAACATTTTTATACTGTGCTGTATTCTAGTATTCAATGATATTTAGCCATTGGCTTCAGGATTTTGTATACTGTATAACTTTGTATTCCAGTAAAGAAGAAATACTGTTTTTTGATAGTGATAGGTCCATGATAAGTTTTCTTTAAAAATTCATTTCATTCTTATTCCAGTGTATTCCATTTTGGCCTGAGAATAATGACAGCAAGTTACAGGTTAGAGTAAAAGATTCTTACATTCCACCCAACATTATACGACTTGATAAACAAGAAAATTGCTTATTACTTCACTTAGATAACAAGGTGAGTATTTAGAGATAAATTTTAAATAAGAAAAGAATGACAGATTGCCTCCCAACCTTTTATACAGGATAATAGTAGGCTGGTAATGCCACAATTTTAATGTAATTGGTAAATCTGAGAGTTTTCTGCTTTTTGAAAGTTTTGGGAGTAGTATTTCAAGTTGAGAGTAGGAATGTCAAATGAGTCAAACGGCTCCATCTTCGTATGCGTATCCATACCATCTGACTAAATTTCTATGGCTAAATTTTGATGATATTGATTCAGTTTTACGTATATAGTCTAGGGGTGCTGAAGGCAATATATGTCCTTTGGCTGCCCAACTATGCCATAAGAAGTTCCAAACTAACTCAATGAGTTCCTTTTTCCTTACTTTTTAAAGACTTTAATGATAATCCGGTGTATTTGCTATGAAAATTTAGTATAATATCAAAGTTGTTTGATTTAAATTTTATGGAGATGTACTATTCTCCAAATATTCTTGTGTGCTTATTTCATATGATCTTATAAATTTGTTTAATTTGAAACCATGTTAAAGTCTTAAAACTTTTAAAACCTGCCATATCACTTGACTGTCTGCAATTAATACAATTATTTTTATGCTAAGTAAGATCAGAGAAGAACACAATGAATAGGACTAAAATGTGTTGTCAGGTTTGGGCATTTTGTACAGGTTTGGGAACATGAACCCTTTCCGTGTTTTAAAATAATAGCAGTACTCTACTATTTATCTATTGATTTTGAATCAGAAACATTGAGATCCTTTAATTATATGACTGAATCATCAATGTAATATGCATATTATATATCATTTCATCTTTGCATATCTGATAGCTTGGTGGCATTATTGTGGATATTACGCTGGCTGAACATTCAACAACAATTACATTCTCTAATTACCATGATGGTGCAGCCCCATTCCTGATAATTAATCATACCAAAGAAGAAGTGATCGAATATGGACAAAGGTAGGTATGCAGTGTTTTATTTGTATACTGTTAAAGATAAACAGCATACAATTTAGTGCTGTATGAATAAATAGTGATCATGTTCTATAAGCATAGTGTATCTAAAACAATTGATACATTAGTCTATTCTGTTTACTGGTTATTATTGTTTGAACAAAAATGAAAGAAAAGTTTCAAACTCTGCAATTAATCAAAAACCTGTCACTTTAGCTACATAGAATGTGAAGCAGCAGAGTTACAGTGAAATATAAATATGTGAGAAATGAATCTGTTAAGTCTAGCTATATATTAAGCTTTTATCATTTAATTTTAAAAACTCAAATTGAACATTATAACATGGGAATGTTTAAATTGAATTGTCAGAGTTAATTGACAAATTTAATAACATAAATTATTTAATTGCTTTGGAGGGAAGATAAAAAATTTGATGAGATGTATTTGGCATTGAAATCTAGATTTTCCTATTTTTGTTTGCAGTTCTCTCATTACAATGGAAGAAACTTTAGAACCAAATAAAGCAGTACTGTATACATGGGCAGATCCTGTAGGTTCTAGAAAACTGAAATGGAAATGTGGAAAGAACAGTGACGAAATAACTCAAAAAGATGTATGTGTAATGTTTCAAATCAGTATAATACTTAATACTCAAATAATTTAGATTTTAGAAGGGATAATGTTTAAAACAGAGCAAATATGCAAGAAATGGGAGGAGGGATAATGGAAATCTGGGATTAAATATATATATATCGAATATAAAGAGTGGTACTATTTGCTTTCAAGCATGTTCATGAAATCAATTCTAAAAATTGCTGTAAAATCTAATATGCATGCATAAATTTTCTGATATACCAGAATACTAATATTTAATGATTAAGCATGTTAGTTTATTACAACATTTATATCCTTATATGTACAGTATCCCAAAACCCACACTGATAAAGATACTTTTCTTTCATAGTCCTTGGTTCATAGAATATAAAGTACACTGCATCACATATACTTTGTGATATAGTCATACTATATCTGTGGTAAAATGATAAAATGATATACTCATAATAACTGAATTTATTAATTGTAAACAGGCCCCATAAGATTGATCTCTGGATGCTTTAAAAAGTGCAATAATAATGCTACATTGTTAATAAGTTGCACTACACTACATGTTATGATTACAATTTAATGCTCTGACTTCAGTGAAGAAATATATCTTCCCCCTATTAAGAGATTAATTTATTTTAAGCTGTGAGAATCTTATGTAAATCCCTTCCTTTTAGTTTAATTTAATTAATTTCCTCTTAAGCTGTCTTATAAAACTAGCATTCCCAGAATCCTTAGGTGCAGAATAAACTGTTATTGGATTATCCTGGATTTGTTTAGGGTCTGGTTATCTAAGCATGGAGAAGGCAGCGTATTTTTACTGGTCTGCTTCACTGCCGATAACCACAAAAGTGTTATCAATATATATATATATATATATATATATATATATATATATATATATATATATATATATATATATATATATATATATATATATATATATATATATATATATATATATAAATAGAAGTAGATAGATATACGTAAACCATATTTCCATAGAATTCATGAAAGTAGTATATAACAATATATAAAACAATTGATATTTATATCCTTAAAGCAGCCTTTTAAATATGTGAATTAGCTAACTAGCTTCTTTATAATCACTCTGAGGTTGGAGATTCTGAAGAGCTGTATTCTCTGCCTGCTGCAGGAATACCCCATATACACCACTAAATATGGCCCAGTCGCAGTGGGTTATCAAACTTGGAAATAAAAACTTTCTGAGCAATAATCCTTTGAAGAATGTCTGATAATTAATATTTATCTCTTATTTTAGGATCTGATGACACCATTTCAGGTGGGAGCCAAGCACATTTTTATAGCTTCATTTTTTGAAGGTTTGCAGCGTATAATCTTATTCACTGAAGATGAAAATGTTTTCAAAATGACATATGAAAGTGAAAAAGTGGAATTAGCAGAACAAGAAATAATTGTGTCATTGCAAGATGTTGGAATTTCTTTAGTAAATAACTATTCAAGGCAGGAAATTGCTTACATTGGAATCACAAGGTAACTAATATATTCAATTTACCATTTACATTTCTAAAAACTAAATTTAAAATCTTAATATTAGTAATGTATATTATATAGTAAATTATATTTGATGTTGTAATTTAGAGTCTTTAACTTCAGAAGTGAGTGTAATGTATAGGAACTATTACAAGCCCAATTGTAACCTAGAATCCCTTTGTACGTGTTGAAATTGTGGCAGATTTTTATCTTCTATCTGAATAAACTATGTACAAACAATTTAACGTTGCCATCATATGCTTTGTTATTTGTTATGGGCAAGTTATGATGATTTATTAGCACAATTACAGGCACCAGCTACATAAATGCCAAGTTTAAAGTTAATACTTGACAGAATATGTAATTTATATGCAATAAATAATTGAGGATTATGACAATTATATTGCTATTATTGTCTTTTTAATAAGTACATTAAAGTCTCAGTTATAAAATAATTTATATTTCCAAATAGTTTTAATGCATTTTTTTTCAAAAATTATAAAGTACTTTTGATATTGAAGACTTTTTTAAGAATCCTATCTCAAAGATTTAATAATAAAGTTTTATTGTTTATCACAGTTTTACAATTTGATAATCTTTTTTTAATTTATTTGCAAGCTCTGATATAATTTGGGAGACAAAACCCAAGAAAAAGTCAAGATGGAAGCCACTAAGCGTGAAGCAAACTGACAAGCTGGAGAAAGAGTTTGTTGAATACTGTGATAACTCACCTACAGAAAATAAAATAGTGGAACTTGATGATAACATTCCGGTAAATTGAAGTTTTTTTAAAGTTTATGCTAGTACCTGATTCCTTCAAGCATTTGCACACATTTTCCCCTTTCTCTCTCTTGTTAATGTTATGCCATACATGTCATTTGTTCCAAAGCAGAGGATTGGTAAGTTTCATTTAATAAAATTATGGAATATAACTATTTCTTGCTGCCTGGGAGAGACTATGAAATCTCCTATCTTTGTCTGTTGTAATTTGTGATCTCAGAACAATGTTCAGAACTCTCTGGAAGTAGTCAAAAGTTCATACAGGGAAATGTTCCTGTAACTTTATGCAAATTAAAAGGGGCTTAACCTTTTCTGTTCACTATCCTCTAAAAAAATATTTTTGTTTTTCCCAAAGAGCATGCATTAGCCCTTCTTTTCCTTAAGTACTTTTTCATTGCTCTCTTAAGTCCAGGGATGAATAGTTTTTGTTGTTTCTTGGCTGTTTTTAAATACCAAATCCTATCTTGGTATAGGTTATAAATATTTTGATCAATAACTATTTCATTTTAATTAATTAAAATATTTAATTTAATTAATTTTATAAGTTGCAGTTGGGCAGTTTTCGCTTCTTTCTGCGCTGGTGCGAATTTGTGGAAATAGTCTATTTGTGTCAAGGATTAAATGACAAGAAAAAAAAAATCTAGAACAATTCTGAGAAAAACCATGATTATTTTAGGCCAAAACTACAATGCCTCTTTGCTCCATCAGAATATTGCACTAATCATTTCCCCGGATATGTTATCACGCTTGTCCCTGTATTTCATTGTCAGCCAGTTACTTGAAATCACCTTAGGTGTACTGATCTGGATATGTTAATGATACATGCATAAGATGGTTTTAAGTAAGACAGTTGGAAGCCATGATCTGCTTGGCCCTTATAGTTCCAGCAGGCCTGCTGTGGCATCACACTTTTCTATCTTATCCCTGAGCTTGGTGCCTGTTCTGCAGTGTGATTCAGCTGCAAGGGAGACAGGAAGCCTGGCTTGTACTGTATAACCATTGTTTTTTAAAACGGATGGTTGATCTGCAGCTTAGAATTAGTGAAATTATATAATTAACCAATCCACCCCCAGTTCAACATGTGCAATTGAACGTGTAATTGAAACTACTGAGCTTTTGTAATTTTTATGACTTGTAATGGGAAATTTCCTGCCCGGTGGCCAATGTTCTTGGGACTGCTGAGTCCTGATTTCCTCTCCAAATACCTAAGGCAGTTTGCAACTGTCACTTTTGACTCTCCTGAGCAAAACTCCTTGGTCAGATTCAGTTGTCTTAAGAACATGAACAGTGTCTAGACTAGGATTTTTCAAAAGCACATCATTTAAGTGTTTAGAGTGCATTGGAGAGCATTATTTCCCAATATAATCAGTTCCTGGGAGAGAAGACTTTTTTCTTTCTTTGTCCCAGTGGTCCTGCTTATTTAAGATTTATGCTTTTCAATTTGACCACATCATCATTTTTTCCCACTGGTTCAAGCAGCAAAAAGTAATAATATATAGCATAATAGCCAAGGAGGCAATTCTCTGTTCCAGGATTCTGAATATGATGTGTTTGTTTGAATGCATACAGTGCATTCCTTGGGGACGAAAACATATGAAATGGTTGCTTTCTTTTCCTTTAAATCAATATGATCAATATCTCTACTCCTTATATTGCTGATGTGGGAAGTAACATTGCTAAATTCAGTAGCTAAATTTTAAATGAATGAGGCAGGATTGTAGCAAGGATTTTTTTAGGCCCCTAGACAAATTTTATGTCACCAGATTTCTGCTTTCTCTCAGCATATACTGTTACTAGTAAAGATGAATTTCAGTTGAATTTAATTGGATTATTTCTGAGTAATTCTGGAGAAGATTCAGTTGCTAATTTTAAAATGAAGTAATTAGCATATTTGGATAAAGTTTAAAACGTTATTACAATTGCATACAGTTGAAAGGCTAAGCATATGAAATGTCACTTAGAAATATATGGAATTTAAAAATGTTTAGTTTGAGTTATGCTGTGACCTTTGATTTGAAAGGTTAATTTTAAAAATTAATTAAAATTTGGATTTTGTCTTCTAGCAGGTCTGTTTGACTCCTACTGGTAATAACATGAAAATATTGCAGCCATATGAATTTCCTGTGAGAAGAAGCTTTTTGCCAGCTTTAAAAGTACAATACAGTACCTCTGAACATCAGTCTTCTTTCAGAGTTCAAATCTATAGAATACAGGTATATCAGATTACCCACAATTCATGGTGAAAAACTGATAATGGAAAATCATCTATGTACAGTTTTGACACTTTTTCCTGTTATTTGTTTTAAAAATATCACCATTAGGCTATACTTAAATAATGTATGAAAATTCAAATTTTAAAATGAACTTTTGTTTGATAGACAAACCAGTAAGTAATAATTAGCTGCTGACTACTGCAGATTAAGACTTTTGTTTGGGGAATTCTGCATTTCTAATTTGTGAAGCTAGTGTAATTGCAAACTACGACCTAACAATTCATATAAAGTTTCTAACCTTCAGTGTATTGTCCTGTAATTGCTCCTATCAGATACAAAATCAGATTCCTGGAGCCATATTTCCTTTTGTGTTCTATCCCATTAAACCTCCCAAGTCCATCTCATTGGATTCAGGTTTGTTAACACAGTTTAATACATTATTATGCTTTTCTTGCATCTGTAATAAGGAAAAATAAATTAAAATATATGAATAAAAAGCCATTTCACAATACAAAAGTGTAAAGTAAGATAAATTTACTAGATCTTGTTAATACATTTATATATTTCTTCCTACATTTTTTAGAAGGTGAACATATATAACTTTTAAGTGAAAACATTAAAGAAATACTTGTTCTTTTTCACTTAGATGAAGTGCTTTTCAATAAATAAGAGTAATCAAACATTTTAGAGGAAAAAATGATTATCTTTCCAAGTGTGGAAATAATCTGGAGAGAATGTTTCTATCACTTGCATTTTTATCAAACGGATTTGTTCATATTCTCTCGCTTGACAAATGTACACAGTTAGCCTGGAACTATATAATTACAAATTGCAAATCTTTTAAATTGAGATTGTTTAGCTAATGTCATTGAAATCTTAAAATTATTAATCATTGATGTCACTAAACTATTATAAACATGTACCTGCTAGGATTTAGAATTTAAAATGTTTGTGAATGTGTACTTCTCATTTTAATAAATGGCTTCATTTGCTCTCATATCCGTGTGTGTGTGTGTGTGTGTGTGTGTGTGTGTATGTGTGTGTGTTTTGTAATAACTTAGTTCCTTTATTTATTCAACTCATTCATTGCATCCTTTGCAAATGATATCAAATGATATCAAATGATATCATTTTATCATTGCAAATGATATCAATTACATATATTACCTTTTGAATATTAAAATAAATTATATTCTTCATGAGAGTATATTTGGAATTTTTATAGAACCCAAGCCATTTACTGATGTCAGTATTGTGATGAGAACTGCAGGACATTCTCAAATATCACGCATAAAGTAAGTATGCTTTTTCCAATCTTAATTTAGGAATGCAATTGTAACTTTCTCCATTTGAAATTATTGGAATTTATTTCTGACTGAATATGTATAGCATTGCACTTCAGTCTTTTACCTTTGGAATGGGAAGCTTGCTTTAGTTAGAAATAAATTGTAGTGTAACCACAGATTTTTTTTTTCTTTTGAGTAGACATGATTAGAGTAAAAGTATTGGAATTAATGTGTTTGCAGTTTTTTCTATAATTTTATAAAAGTTTAACATAACTGCATAAAGCATTGTTATATGAATTGTTTGGTTACCTGTTCACTGAGGCATTTTCTTTCATTCTTGATGTTGAAACAGTTGCATATTTAATAGTTACATATTTCTACTATTTAATGGTTTCAACTTTTATAGGTATTTTAAAGTTTTAATTCAAGAGATGGATCTCCGATTAGATCTTGGTTTCCTTACTGCGCTGTCTGAGTTTTTTACACATGTTGATGAACTTCCCAAAGACCAAGAGGTATGAATTCCTATAGGATATTTTTTAAGTAATGCAACAACAAATTGTTACATATTCCAATATTTTCTTTTTTAAAATCAACTGTGTACTACACACCAACCGCTGTGTAAAAAATATATCAGTATTGTCTTTAAAGTTTTAAGACTTACTACCTGTTGTCAATTTTTTTGCAGATTGAACTTTTTAAAAAGGATGTAGAATCTGCACAGGAAGAATTAAAGAATGCAGTATCAACTGACACATCACAAATCAGTTTATATGAATATTTTCATATCTCTCCAATCAAGGTAGCCTCAATGTAACATTTGTTTGTTTAAATAGAGTTAGCAATAAGTATTAAGCAAGAATGAATGCCTATCAGTATTTATAACTCTCATAATTCTCTCAGGAGATTTTTATAAAAATTCTGCTATTTTAGTAAGTTGCAATACTCTTAGGGGAAAAGCAGCAGGACTAGTTTTACTAAGAGCTACAGGTTCAAAATATGAAAACAAAATATAACTGCCAACAGAACAATGCATCTTACCACAATGAATACTTAATTCAGCAGATCAGAACCAACAAAATTGAGTAGCATTAATAATTTTTCACATTAAAAAATTACAAAAACATTTGGGGGGAAAGCTACATCCAACAAATTTTATTGGAAAAGTATATTAGCTTTAGTTGCATTTTTAAAGGATGATCACAATCCCAAATATTTATACAGGTAGACCTTGTTTAGTGTTCCAATTGGGATCCCAAAGCTATCTCTAAGTGGAATTGTGACTCTACTTACAATCAGCTTTGCTTTAAAGACCTGTGAAGGCTGTATATGTAAGGATTGGTTGCAAAGTTACTTTTCCATCATAGTCATAACTGCAAACAGACTCTAAATGAGAGAGTTGTTAAACAAGAACTACCTGTATTGCAGAACAATGCAGATGATAGCAAAGTTTGATTTTCCATTTTTTAAAAAAATACTGTAAAAACAGTTAACAGAACAAAATAGATGGTTGTTTGCAACATTGGCATGGATTATGCAAGGCAATATGGCTATAACTATTGACAAATTATCAATATCCTGTTTCCCTGAAAATAAGACCTCCCGGATAATAAGCCCAATCAGGCTTTTGAGTGCATGCATTAAAATAATCCCTCCCCGAAAATATTGCAACACAGCAGCAGCCATGAGGTAACTCTGCTTGCTGCCTTCTGCACCTCAAAAATAATAAGACCTCCCTTATTTGATCAGAGAGGAGAAATCTTTTAAGTAAGATTGCTGTGTTTGTCAAGAATGACACAATATCCAGAAAAAATAGAGGTCTTGACTTTGCAAGATATACTTTCAGAACTACAGAAATTATTAAATAAAGAAGAGAAACAATTGGGATTCTTAGAGCACATAACAAGAAAATATGATGAAAAAAATTGAAAATGTTCATCAAATGCAAAACGGGGTGATTGAAACTCAAAACATCAAAGTGGAAAATGAATATAAAAAGACCAAACCTGCTGATATCTATGGTAACTGGTTTGTTCCTGAAAGTATAAAGAATGAAATATAGAAAGAGGAATTAAATGGTGAGGAAATCTACTTCAAGGGCCAAGAGA